ATTCCCCTTTTCAGGCCCCCCCCCCCGTTAAGTTACAATCAGAGGGCTCTGTTTTTAACTTCCCGATGAATCCGCGGCACGCGGTCGTCCACCACGCAAGGCGAGTTATCGTCGGTAGTGAAACAATCTCTACACTTGTGGAGTCACGCACGGCACAGCCAGTCTTCAATAATAATAGGCGTTTTTATTTCTTCCAGCACGAAGCACACCAGTCTTCAAGGATTCCCTTCACTCCAAGCATCCCGAAATCTCTCAATTCCCCCTTCTCATATACCCCTCAAGCCCCCTTTGACCAAATGTTCCTTGACCTTCCGCTTTCCCTCCAGCCCATCACCTTCACACTTTTCCTAACGGATTCCAACCATCCCTCCCTGTCAATAATCCTCCGTTTCCTGCTCTTTCCATTTGGTACGTCTCCTCCAATCCCTTGCCTCTTAACCAATCACCTTACAGGCCCGTTTAGTTTACCAATCGGAGGGCTTTGTTTTTTAACGTCCCTCCCTGTCAATCACCCTCCGTTTCCCGCTCTTTCCAATCCCCTTTCAGGCCCTGTTAAGCACCAATCATCGAGGGCTTGTTCTACCTCCTGATTGGCCAAGTCATGCACGCCGTGTCCATAACATCGGGCGAGCATTTTCGGTTGCGATCGAATCTCTACGCATCTCAGTTTCCATGAGAAGTTGGAATGGGTTTTTTGTTATTGTTGTTGTTGTTGTGGCCTACGACAGGCTTCTTAAAAAAATATATCGTTCACTCGTGACATTAAGTAAGGCATCTTTATTTGAGGAAACTTTAAGAGGGGTGGGGGAGCAGGGAGGGGGAATGTTTAAAATCGTTTTATTTTACTTCGTTCGGAAGTGTCTATGCATTTTATTTATTTCCTTGCTTTCCAAAGTTGCTCCCAAGGTAAGACGCGATCAATCTTAGGCGACAGTGCGATCGATCCACGGGGGGTTTACAAACTAACAGGCGAATTATAATTAATCACAACGCCGACAAATAACAACAACAAAAACGCGCAAAGAGAAAACCTCGAGAATAAGAAGTTAAGCCCCCGTTGATATAAACTACCGTACATTATACTTTTTGTTGTTTATTAAAACACAATATTTTTTCATCAAAGGTAATAAAAGCCACTCCCCGATCCAGTACCCCCCCCCCACCCACTTTCCACTGCCACATCCGAGCCGAGCCAGCACGGTGTACGGGTACGTTTTCCACTATTCTCCGTGCAGAGCAGTGCTACACTGGCCTCCTTCCAACCCTTGCCCGTTCCGAGATGCCTGCAAGTTGCGGGGTGTTTTGGGTGTTCCGTTCACCGCCGAACCTCGAAACACGCCCAAGCGATTCTGCGTTAATTTTCTCTCTTAGTAGCGCCCCATTGTTTTTAAAAGACGTTGCACTCACCGCAGAGAACCGGACCGGCACGACCGTCACTCTACGATAGCTGGCGCCAAAAACTGTGCTGACACGCACTTCCCCCGCAGGGCCTTGTGGGTTAAATAACTAAAATTCAATAACCGTATCGGTACGTCTCTTCAGGTCGGAAGTTATTTTATTTTAGTTTTTCTCCACGTTCGTACACCTTACACGTACTTCATCGTAACGGAATCGGGAGCAAATTAAAAAAAAAAACTTATGACGTACGTCATCGGAAACGGGAAAGGGTTAATGAATCTAGCTTCGCCCCAGGGCCAAGCAAGGCCAGGGCCAATGACACGACCGCTGCCTGTGACGTCAATCGGTGACGCTGCGAGGACACAGAGCGAACCCCCGTCACCCGCACGCGTGCCTAAGCGTGCGGCTGCGACGTCGCCGAGCGAGGGAAAACCCGATTGAAACCCGGCGACGCCGGGCTATGACTCTGTACGGCCCAGGTACGGCTTCGGTTGTTGCCAGTGTGGAGGCGGGAGGGGGGGGGTGAAGAGGTACACACAAAGAGGTCTGGAGTTTAAGAAGAGGAAAAAGAACCCGCTGGATTGGGTCGCATCACCACCCCCAACAATAGTAGCATTTCTGCCGCCAATCTATAACCGGGTTATGAGAGGTGCAGACACACAAATAGCTTTTCGGCGCCACTCTCGATAGATCAAAAAATGGCGGCGGTTAAAAAAAAAGGAGGGGGGGGGCCCCAAAAAAAATAATGCCCCCATCCCCCTACTCCCTTAGAGCCGCCATGAAGGGCACGGGTGGGACGTGGTGGAGGAAGGGGGAGGGGGGGTGCTGATGTTTGGGGGCGAGTGGAGATGATGGGTGGATGTGGATTCTATTACGGGACAGTGAAATATGAAGTCAATCATAATCCCCGTGCGTGCACACGCGCGCACACACACACACAAGCACACAGAGGGAGAGAGAGACACACACGTTCAGAGAGACACGCAAGCACGCAGACAGACACACACACACACAGACGAGACACACACACCGCAAGCACAGAGACAGGTACGCGCGTGCGACGTTCATGCCGACGAACTGGGAGGCGAATTTAAGGAGGCCCAAGCAGAAGAGGGGGAAAAGCAAAACGGGCCGGACAGTCGCGGAAGCTTGTCACTACCCACGTAGAACTTCGCTCTCCACCGGAACGCATCCAAGCGTGTCCAAATCGGAGGGTGCGACGACGGTGCCCCCAACGTCCGACCGCATGGCCACCGCGTGTCCAGAGACTTTCGAGCCACGCGGTGTGGCGGTATTTGGGGGTGGCGAAATGGAGGAGGGGGAAAAAACAAAAACCGAAAAGGTTCCCGCACTGAGCGGGGGAACCCCGAAGCAGCAGTCGGCAGTCGCAAACCCGGAGAGACGGCGCTGTGCGTCCTCCAGCCGCGGAGCTGTCGAGTGTGCAGGCGGTGGAACTGCACCCGCGCCCCCCCTATTGGACCGCAGGGCCATGTTATTCATTGTACTGGGGGGGGGGGGATCACGTGACAACCACGGAGTGTCGTCCGTTAAGAATAAAAACGAAGGGTGCCCCCCCCCCCCTCCAAAAAAAAAAATCGTCGCATTTCAGAGAATTCCGTCAAGGGGCCCAAGTCCGTCCGCCGCCGTAGAGTCGACCACTCTCAGGGCGGGTTCAGCCAGACAGCCAAAAGGGTTGTGGGACAAACTTGAACGTGCTGAGAGCGGGGGGGGGGGGGAGAGAGGGTGGAAGAGAGCGCGAGAGAGCACGAGAGACAGCGTGAGAAGCAACGCGATACGATGGAAAGTCTCCCGGAGTAAGTGGGCCACGCGCGCCTCTGGCTGCCGATTGGCACCGGCTACTGCCGCCCGCCGCCGCCGCCGCCGCTGCTGCCCGCCGGGCCAATTTTCGCACGCCACCTCTTTCTTAAACTGTTTACACATGAAGCACGATGGGCCCGCGTAATGGTTTTGTAATCATTGTTGCCGAGATCGAGTCTTAAAAATAATCCGTCCCCCGAAGCCGATATAGACTTGACGGTGCTCGTGAACGACGCCGGGCGTAGAGCTGGCGGCCACCGCGTCGGCCTTCTTCACAGGCTGTTGCTCGCTGAACGGCACTTGGTGGGGGAGGGGGGGGGATGGTGGGGGGGGGATTGGTGGGGAGGAGGGCTCTTACAACCAGGCACCGTGAAGCGCCAAACGAACGATTCGGAACGCGCGGGAGGGAGAGAATAAGTTTGCGTGAATGCGCGGCGTCGACCGCCCTAAGCGAGAGAGAGAGCCAGCAACCCCCGACGAGACAAAGCGGCCCAGGATGATACAAGCAGGCGCGCCTCCCCCCCCCCCCCCCCTATCACCACCCCCCACCCCCCCCCACCACCAAAGCCAACCGGACAAATACATCGCACGGGTGGATACATTCGCGACCACCCCCCCACCCCAACCCCCCCAATTAAGAGAGAGCACACGAAGGAGCTACGTAGGAATGCAACGTCACAATATCCCCCCCCCTGGGACGTCCGTGGAAAACAGAAGAGCTTCGTGGCTCATCGGATTCGATCCAGCAGCAGGAGAAAGATTAAGATGCTGTAGAAGACGGCGGCGATCCTCCAACGGACGCTCTCCACAAATCCGCACCAACCGTCTCGCCGCACACGTACACACACGCACGTACGCACATACACACGCACGCACGCACGCACACGCGCACACACGCAGAATGAACCACGATACCTCGCCGCCGATCTCGTCAAGGAGAGCGTAAATAAAACAAACGCCATCACGTGACACTCCTCGCAGCGGCGGCAGCAGCGGGGGGGGGGGGGGGGGAGCTTTTGGCCGAGCCGCCGGTGGCCGCGTCGTGGCGCGGCCCGTCTGGAACGCTCTCTCCCCCTTCCGATACGAGGAAGCGACTGTGAGCGACGCAACTTTTAAATCACCGCCTCGATTGACAAACTCATTTCTTCAGTAATACACAGATCGTTCTTGGGTTAGATCACGCAAATATAAATGTTGTGTCGGTAAACCCGCCACCACCCACCCCCCCCCCCCCGACACAGCACAACTAAGTAAGGCTTGTCACGTGAACGGAACTTGCCGATTCGTCACTAGTACAGCACACCGGTTGCGCGTTGGTGGAGCAAACGCGCAACGTTTACAATCCGAGTACCACGTCTTGCCAGGAATTACAACCGGCATCATCAGATGTACACGATCTAGACACCCCACAAAAAAAATACCCGGATTATCAATTTTGGTCCCGAAAGCCGACCCGCCGTTACAACTCAATTCTCGGGATCTGCTTTTTTTGTCTCCAGTTTGTCGTCATCCCCCACCCCCTCCCCCGCCGCACCTCCGATGAGAGCGCGGGATGATGGCCACGCGCGGTGCGAAAGAAGTTCAACATATGGCCGTACGCTCACGGGCTAATGAACGCCAAAGTTCGGAGAAGTTTTTGTTTTTACACCGCAATCATTTTTGCCCGGCCGTGCGTGCTGTTGTCTTATGCCGGTGTTCACACAGCCGCCCTGAGCCTCCCCAGCGAGTCGGATACGTGACGGAGTTGCTCACCGTTAACAGCATTATCGATGTTGTTGTTGTTGTTGTTAGCGCGACATTAACCGTTACAAGTCCCTGACGACCGGACTGGGAGCAGACAATGAGCTGGTGGGGTTTCAACGCCAGCCACCGTGATTCACTGTGGTCCACCATGATCCATTATGGTCCATCATGGTCCACCATGTCCAATCATGGTCCACAATGGTCCATCGTGGTCCACCATGGTCCACCGTGGTCCACCACGATCCACCATGGTCCATCGTGTCCAATCATGGTCCACCATGGTCCATTGTGTCCAATCATGGTCCACCATGGTCCATTGTGTCCAATCATGATTCACCATGATCCACCATGATCTACCATGGTCCATTGTGTCCAATCATGGTTCACCATGATCCACCATGATCTACCATGGTCCATCGTGTCCAATCATGGTCCATCATGGTGTATCATGATCCACCATGATCCACCAAGGTCCACCATTGGTCCATCCACGTGCCACCTCCCAACCATCAGCCCACAGATGCGACGTAAACCAGCCGATGCACGGACTCCGATGACTCGGGGAGAGGGGGGCCTCGAGGACTGCAGTGGAAGGCAGCCGCTGGGAATTCACGCACGGCCAAATGCTCCGTCCGTTCACCTGTCCCGTGTGTCTGTCCATGTGTTCATCTGTGTGCTCGTCCATGTGTGTGTCCACGTGTCTGTCCGTGCGTCCGTGTGCCCGTCTGTGTGTCTGTCCAAAAGTTCGTCCGTCCATCCGCGTGTACGTCCCTGTATCCGTCCGTGCACCCATCTGTGCGCGTGTCAGCCCCCTCTCCGTCGACCTCTGCGCGCTCTGCGGGTAGTGTGTGGGGGCGCGCTCAGCGTGGCTCGGCTACTGCTCGCTCTCCTCGTGCTCCGAGCCTCCTCCTGGGGACACAGAGAGAAGGCACCGCAGGGTTAAAGGTCAACGCCGAGGTTAAAGGTCAACGCCGGGTTAAAAAACAGCGCTGTGTTCACCGTTAGCCACGACCAATCCAATGCTGCACCAACGCCACCTGTACGTACGTTGAACCTCTTTGGCGCCCTACGTAGCCAACCGTGCTTAATCGGAGGTGCGGGGGAAGGACAGCAAACTAAAGCACAAAAAGCGGGCCGAAATAACCGAGTTTCCAATCGACATTTAAAAGTGGCGCAGCTCCAAGTGGCTCCCTCATATCGGAAGGGAAGAGCGTTCCAGACGGCCACAGAAGCGCATCCGAAAGCGCCGCGTGACGATGCGTTGACCGACGCCTTCGTACGACGGCCGAGCGTGAACACCGACGGACAGTTTCAGTTTCATTTGTCTGGAATAACCCTGTGAGCCATTCGGCTTTTAATTCGGGTACAACCGCAACAAACAATAAAATTACAAGATACATTTAAAATTTACTGTACACAAAATTGAAACATCCCCTACAAAAACAGTAAAATCTTCCAGAAAAAGCACCATTTAGTTCATGCTGCGTACAAAAATGTGCACGATGGCGGTGAGAACCGTGTACAGACACCGCACAGAGTGGCCTCCCTCTGGTCGTGTTGATGGATGGGCGGTGGTGGGGTGGTGGTGGTATTGGCATTGTTGGTCGGTGGTCGGGAGATGGTGTCAGTGGTAGTGTTGGTGGTGATGTTAGTGATGTTAGTGGCGTTAGCGGTGGTGACGGTGTTGTTGGTGGTAGCGTTGGTGTTGTTAGCGGTGGCGTTGGTGGTGTTGTTAGTGATGTTAGTGGCGTTAGCGGTGGTGACGGTGTTGTTAGCGGTGGCGTTGGTGGTGTTGTTAGTGATGTTAGTGGCAGTGACGGTGCTGTTGGTGTGGCCGCCTTGTTAGCGGTGCCGTTAGAAGCAGAGGCAAGGCCGGGATCTCTCCCCCACTCTCCCCGTGCCCGCACCTCCCCTCCCCGTGCCCCTGGGAGGAGGCCTCACTCGGCACGGGCAGCGTTGGCGCTCGCCTCCTGTCAAGGTCGCGCCCGAGCGCCGGGCGTTACGGAGACCCCACGTCACCCCGCGCCACCCCGGGTGCGTCATGCCCCACCGTGCCCCACCGTGCCCCACCCGACCCGCAAGCCACTGTGACTACCCCTAACCCTGAGCCGCTAGCCATCCCAGCAGTAGATTTCCAGGGCCGGAACCCATTATTTACTTTTGTTATTGTTAACGAGTGTAATGTCCCGTTACATGACGGGCATATTCATGTCGTAAATGATCCAGTGTGTCTCGACTTTGCCGATGACGCTGTCTCTGCCGTCTCTCTCCGTTTAATCGGCATCCGCTTTCGTCTGCAGACTCTTCTGGATTCATCGGAATGAAATCTAAATTAGCGGACATGACGTGCCGAATGCAATTTACTGTGAGATTAATTTATGACAAACCTGTATCATAGTGTTCTAAGAGCCGTTTGAGTTACCCTTTCTATCAGGAATAAAACATGTATCATAGTGTTCTAAGAGCCGTTTGAGTTACCCTTTCTATCAGGAATAAAGTAACAAAAATGATGTTCCAATACAACATTAGATTTTCCCCAAACTAAAAATATTTTTCTTCACCCGTGAGTGTGAATATCGAGATATGAACCATTATGTTGGTTGCAGGAGTGATTTAATCATTATAAGTATCGACTTACTGGATTCTGTATTGATGTGAATACAAAAAAGATTAACGATTTATAAACCTGAAGGACAGGGTCGGCGTTCATTAACGTTCACAAATCTTCGCCACAAATGTGAGCAGAAGCTCGCCTTTTATACAAAAAAGAATTTCGCCGAATTGACGTGAATTTTAAGAAATGTTTAAACTCTTCGTTATCGATCAGCAGGGGAGGAGAGTGTCAGTGTTCACTAATGATCACCAATGTCCGCCCGTAAGCGCGGGCCAAAAGTCGCTCGGGTGGAAACTACGCCGCTGTTCAAAGTAAAAGCGGTTTATTTAAATTTCGATTCGATGTCAAAAAATAAAAAAATAAAAACATCGTCACGCACTAATATTAACCGAGTATTCTTGGGTCTTTTGGTAAAGTCACGTTAGATAGGTTCAAAGAAAATAACAAAAAAGAACAACAACCAAAAACGATGACGATTTCACCCTTTTCCTGATGACGACCGCTTGCGTTGTGATCGAAACGCCGCGGTTTTTTTGCTGTTATTTTTTTTGTTATTTTCTTTGAACCTATCTACGTGACTTTACCGAAAGAACCCCAAGAATAACCGAGTAGATTACGTATTAATTATATTCTTGGTTCTTTCGGTAAAAGTCACGTAGAAGGGACTTTACCGAAAGGACCAAGAATATGAACCCCTGCAGTCACGAAAGCTTTAAATCAAAATTTACGTATTTTAATTGTTATTGTTCCCTTAATCGTGGTGGGCAAGACGCAAAGGCACAACACGAAAGGCGAAGGGGGCGTGCGCAACTCGGCTTTTACCCAAAGCGGCGCTGGGCATATTGTTTGTGGAGGGAATCGATTATTCTTGGAACAACAACAACAAACTCAGAAATTTTGATTTAAAGCTTTCGTGACTGCAGTAATTCATATTCTTAGCTCTTTCGGTAAAGTCACGTTGAAGGGAAACGATACGTGACTTTACCGAAAGAGCTAAGGATATAAACAAACTCACGATCATACACAAAAAAAAAACATTTGCATGGAAATCCGTGTAGCCCAAGCCGGCGACGTTACACGCAGCGCTACGGAACGGTAAGGCGTGAGGCACAGACCACCAAAACTAAACGGATAATGGTGCCATGGTTTGGCCCCACGAAATGTTGGCCTTGAGCATGAGGGGTGGGTGGGAGGTGGGGCACTTCTTACGGGCAAACAGACAAGGAGGGGCTCTGTAAACCTCCTGCCACCATGTCGCCTCGAGCGTGCCCGACCTCACCACATCTCTGGCGGGGGGGGGGGGGGGGGCACGGTGGGGTGGGGGCGCTGGGGGCCTTCATCCAGCAGCGGATTGACAACGGAGTGGGGGGGGGGGTGGGTGAATTCTAAGTTGAAAACTAGTTTCTTTACAACTGCTGTTCCTGTTTAAGTGTGGTGTCCTTCCCTACCCCCCGGTAACCTCCGATTAGCAACGATTTGCTACGTACGGTGTGAAAGAAGTTCAACATACAGTACATATATAGGCTCACACAGAGACCCAGAGACTCACACAGAGACCCATAGACTCACACAGAGACCCATAGACTCACACAGAGACCCACAGACTCACACAGAGACCCATAGGCTCACACAGAGACCCACAGACACACAGAGACCCATAGACTCACACAGAGACCCATAGACTCACACAGAGACCCATAGACTCACACAGAGACCCATAGACTCACACAGAGATCTATAGACTCACACAGAGACCCATAGACTCACGCAGAGACCCATAGACTCACGCAGATACCCACAGACTCACACAGACACCCATAGACTCACACAGAGACCCACAGACTCACACAGAGACCCATAGGCTCACACAGAGACCCATAGACTCACACAGAGACCCACAGTCCTTCCCCAGTCCCCGGCACCTCCGATTAGCACAGCTGGCTACGTACAACACGACAGAAGTTCAACATGCCGTACACATAACAATTTGAAACAAGAAACCAGTCCCTACCCCCCCCCTCCAACAAAGAGAGCCATAGAGGTGGTGGGGGGCATGGGATGGACGTACTGACCGCCCGGTTAATCGTCCGCGCAGTGAACATTCTGTTTACCGCTGCGCACTGTGATTGATATGGTGCTAATGTGCCACGCGGGGGGTGACGCCTTTGGGACGCGCACTCACATAGACACCCACAGACTCACAGACACCCACAGACTCACACAGAGACCCACAGACTCACAGACACCCACAGACTCACACAGAGACCCACAGACTCACATAGAGACCCACAGACTCACATAGACACCCACAGACTCACAGACACCCACAGACTCACACAGAGACCCACAGACTCACATAGAGACCCACAGACTCACTTAGACACCCACTGACTCACATAGAGACCCACTGACTCACATAGAGACCCACAGACTCACATAGAGACCCACAGACTCACAGAGACCCACTGACTCACATAGACACCCACTGACTCACATAGAGACCCACAGACTCACATAGACACCCACTGACTCACATAGAGATCCACAGACTCACATAGAGATCCACAGACTCACAGACACCCACTGACTCACATAGAGACCCACAGACTCACATAGAGACCCACAGACTCACATAGAGACCCACTGACTCACATAGAGACCCACTGACTCACAAAGAGACCCACAGACTCACATAGAGACCCACAGACTCACATAGAGACCCACAGACTCACATAGAGACCCACAGACTCACATAGAGACCCACAGACTCACATAGAGACCCACAGACTCACATAGAGACCCACAGACTCACATAGAGACCCACAGACTCACACAGACACCCACTGACTCACATAGAGACCCACAGACTCACATAGAGACCCACAGGCTCACATAGAGACCCAGTGACTCACAAAGAGACCCACTGACTCACATAGACACCCACTGACTCACATAGAGACCCACAGACTCACATAGACACCCACAGACTCACAGACACCCACAGACTCACACAGAGACCCACTGACTCACATAGACACCCACTGACTCACATAGAGACCCACTGACTCACATAGAGACCCACAGACTCACATGGAGATCCAGAGACTCACACAGAGATCCAGACTCACATAGAGACCCACTGACTCACATAGAGACCCACAGACTCACATAGAGACCCACAGACTCACAAAGAGACCCACTAACTCACATAGACACCCACTGACTCACATAGAGACCCACTGACTCACATAGAGACCCACAGACTCACATAGAGACCCAGAGACTCGCACAGAGA